TTTTTCAGAGCAATGCAACATAAAAACAGCAATGTCCTGTAGTATAAAACTCTAGGTTTGATTTGTTTATTTTTTAATTCATGCATTTCTGATTTTCCTATAAATAATTAAAGTGAACATCACCTGATGCTGGCATTGATTTGTGTGATTTTCCGGTCTTCGTCGCTCTCTAGCGTCCCAGACTGAAAACTTTCCGACCGAAATGTTTCCGGATCCGCCGGAAGTTGGGGACCTTTCTGCATGCGGGTGACGTCACCACACAGTCGTGAACATGGCGTCCGTGACAACAGGTGAGAGCACAAAGGCCCGGCTAGCCGGTGTTAACAAATGGTTGATTTAAATTATTTCAGCAGTACTTCGCCAGATATTAACACTGGCACCTCGTCTTGAATGTTTACGAGCGTTTGGGTTCACAGCGATCCCCGCAGAACAGCTTTTATTCGCGGCTACTGGAGCCGCTCACACAATGCTAACACAGAGTGCTAGGACAAACAACCGTGTTACTGAGTTTTGTGTCGCTCTCTGAAATGTGTGATTTAATCTTTAGTGGGAAAACAATCGTAAGGGGGAACTGTGTCCTAGATTAGTGGCCAGTTTAACCTCTGAATCGTCCAACTTGTCTCGCCGCTAATGCTAACGTTAGCCTACCAGCTCCGGAACATCTACCACTCCGCTTTGTCTTCAATCTTAAAACGAAATGATTTTTAAATAGTCTATCTCTGATTTGCTTCTAAGTGCTATGACAGTTTAATCGCCGTCCGTGTCTCCGCGTGGCCGAGTTTCACGTCGGGCATAGCCATTGTTGTGGCAGCTGTTGTGTTTCCTTCACAGTTTATCTGCTCCTGCAGCCACAGGACGGTTCATATGTGGGGTTATAAATAGCCTCCAGCTGGTCACGATCAGCATGTATTAGACATCAGTATGCTGCTGTCTCTGATGGTTTATGTCTCCCACTGGCGTCTTGTTACACTGTAGTATTACTTTGAACAGTCCCACATTACACATAGTGTGATCACAGCCTGTGGAATTCGTGGGCAACTTGGCCAGGAGTTTTGGTTCTTGCTGTTGTGTTTTGATTTCCAATTTTTCTGTTCTTAACAAAAGCAAACTGGAGCAGTGACACTGTAGACGTTAAAAAATCAACAAGTAAAGAACTCATTACTTGCAACTGTATTTGTGGCATTGTTTATTTATAAAGACCCGTGTTTGATTCTGCTTAAGTTCTTTGGTGGTTAATGTTTCAACCTTTCCATTTTTCTTTTAAGCCACCTCAGAATGGATTCAGTTTTTTAAGGATGCAGGGATCCCAGCTGGTCTGGCTGTCACATATGCTGTTTCCTTCGTAGACAACAGGTAAAGACATTTTGGCCTCGTGAACACATTCATGCTGTGATCATGTGCACTTTATTAATGCTCTCATTGTTTGTCCTGATTGTTTAATCCTCGGCAGAATTCAGAAGAACATGTTAATGGACCTCAGTAAAGACATCATGATGGACCTCGGCATTACTGTAATTGGGGACATCATTGCCATTCTTAAACATGCCAAACAGGTCTACAGGCAGGTGAGCCAGACTTGATCTTTTAATGTTATGAAAAGCTGAAAATTATTCACTGTTAACAATTGTGTTTGTCCAGAAGTCTACAGACAATATAATCGTGTATTGATTTAAAATAGCCACCCCTATATGGTAGCGCTAGGGTTTATTTTAAAATTGCAGCATTAGGTGCAGATTTTACTCAACACTTTGTTTTCCTGCTCTGTTTTTTAAGGACATGTGCAAAATGGCAACTGAGGCCATCTCATCAGGACAGACCAGTGTTCAAGCTGAGCTCAGAAGAACTGCCAACACCCGTAAGTAAAAGTAAAGTATGAGCCTTTATTAGAAGTCAAAGGAGCTTCAAAGAAAAGCGTCTGGACTTCTTTAAGATGCTTGAAGACGTTTCACCTCTCATCCGAGAAGCTTCTTCAGTTCTAAGGTCAAATGGTGGGAGAAGATAAAGGAAGCACTCAAAACATGCGGCTATCCTAATTGGGCGTTCATAAAGTCAGCAAAGAGGCACAGAAAAGAAGATCAGACACCAGCGAGGGAGGATAAGAAGGACAGACGCAACAACATTGTCATCCCCTATGTAGCCGGTGTATCAGAAAAACTCAGGAGAGTTTTCTCCAAGCATGACATCCTGGTGCATTTCAGACCCAGCAACAC